AGGAGCAGAAGGAGAGCTGAAGATCAGCACTTCCTCTCTCTACTTTCTGACTGTGGACACAATGTAACCGATGCATCAGGTTCCTGCAGCCACTCCTTCCTGTCCTGATAACTGTATCCCTTCAAACCGTGAGCTAAAATAAACCTGTCTCTCTTCAATCTCTCTTCTCAGATATCTTGTCACAGCAATGGAAAAAATACTATGTTTATCATGTACTAGTTTTTGTCTTTTATCATATAGTCAGCAGTTAAATCCCTTCTGTCTGGACCATTTTACAGTCTTCGTGTTTTCTTACATCCCACATCATTCCTTTCAGGTCATTCCCTGTTGGCAAAATGTCTGTGAGCTGTAAAGCTCAGTGCTTGGAAATTAAATGTAGCTGTTCCACCCTTTTGCCTGAAACAGTACTAGAGACAAGAGTGCTCACTAGTGGGTCACTGCGCTTTCCAGATAAGACTTCTGGCGCCTGCTGCAGGTGATGAGGGTCCACTGTCACTCTATTAGTTAGGAAAGCTCTTCTCCCTGGGAGCTTCAAGTTTCCCCCTTCAAGTTTAATTCTAAAGTTCAGAAGTTTCTTTTCCACCTCCTTTTGTCTCTGTCTCAGCTTGGAGTGTTCACTGTCGGAGCCCCCTTCTCCTCCCTCAGCCACTTCCCCAGAGGACAGGGTCTACAATGTTGTTTCTATACACTTCTATTCCTGTTCCAGAATTTTCCAGAATGTTCATTACTGTGTTTGATGGCTTTTGGTAAATCTCTACATTTCTTTGACTTGGCCAATTTTGCTTTTTGTTTGGCATAAGAGATGTTTTTTAATCTAGATTTTTTATTAAAGATTTATTTATGTATATGAGTGCTCTATTTGCATGTATGTCTACTTGACAGAAGAGAGCATCAGATCCCATTATAGATGGCAGTAAGCCAACAACATGTGATTGCTGAGAACTGAACTGAGGACCTCTGGGAGAACATCAAATGCTCTAAATGGCTGAGCCATCTCTCCAGCCCAGAGACAGTTTTAATATAGTCACCAATAGTCACAAAGATTGCCTATGGCTTTAAAAAAAAAAAAAAAAAGATTGAAACTATGCTTTCCAGGGCTGAAGAAATGGCCCTGTGGTTAAGAGCACACACTTGGCACTGTTTTTGCTAAAGACCACAGTTCAGTGTCCAGAGTTCATCAGGCTGCTCATACCACCTGCAACTCTAGCTGCAGGGAGCAACGACACATCCAGTCTGCAGGCTCCTGTACTCCCACACACACATATCCAGCCTCTGTAGGCACCTGCAATCATACCCACAGACACAAGATCAAAAGTAATACAAATACATCTTTTCAGACAACACTTTTAAGCTTCAGCTGATACTGTCAAATGTTCCTTTGGAAGTAGCTGAAGAATTCTAAACTCACAAAGCTAATTAACTGAAGGACAACAGAATAAAATGTAAAACACATATAACAATCACATACTCAGTAAACATTTCCTAACCATCTGGGTCTGAATCCCAACTCTGCTATTTGGCTGCTATGCAATCCTAGGAAAGTTACATAACCTCTCTATACCAGTTTCTCTTCTATAGATGGACAACTGTGAAGTTGAAACACAGTAAAGATGGAAAGTGTTTGCTGCCTGGCATTGAATAACTAATATTAGTTATTAAGTGCTCACTAAATATCTGTCACTGCTACTACTGTTAGGGTCAGCCACTCATCCCTTGCTCCCAAGCTTCCACAAAGGAGAAAAATCTCCCAGTCCACATCTTGAGAGAACCTCAAATCCCTCTGAGCTGTAGCTTTCCTCTCCTCAGCGGCTCTAGGTGGCTTACCTATGAGCTCTGGAGGGCTGGGCATGAGTGGCTCAGCTCCTCCTCGCTGCTACACCAGGAACTGTCTACGAGCACACACACCTCTGCTTGGCTCAGATGATCAGGCCTTGTCTGTATCGGGACAATTTCATTTCCAGGTCAGGAGGAAACGCACACAAGCCTTTTTAGTTATGGCAAACTTTTAGTCACAAAGATAAGCAACATTTGCTGGTCAGCTTTATCTGTTCTCAAGCCACCTTCTGAACTCCATTTTTCTGTCACCCATCTTGTCTGAACTTGTTCAAAACTCACAAGCAGAAAGAGAAGCCAGGTGGTACTGGCTACCCCAACCCTCACCAAATCTGAGTCTCTAGCCATGACGTTCTTGAAGGTTTAACTGCAACAGCAAGCACCACAGAACACTCAGCAGACACTGGCTCCGAATGCCTCTGACCATTGCCTCTGACTGCAAGACTCCAGCAGATGAAGAGTCAGGGACCAGCTGGAGGGTGAGTCACCCTCCCTCCCACATCAAGACAGCCAGCCTTGGCAATGGCCAACAGCCCAGCAATGGCAGTCCCACAAGTCTCTGACTTAATCTCAAATGTTTTTACTAAGCAAATACCATGTCCCAAGAATTGTGGCAGGGAGCGGGAGTGTGCGGGGAGGATGTCCAGCATTGCTCATGTCAGTCTGACCCCACAAAGCTTACAGAGGGGAAGAAGGGCAGGCCTCTGGACAGAACAGCACCCAGAGGAGATCTGGAAGATGTGCAAGTACTACAGGAACCCAGAAAACAAAGCTGGAATAAAGCGAGACTTTTGGAGTTAGAGCCACCTAGCATAAATCTGTTTGCTGAAGTACAAAAGGCAGTTTTTCTGTCCTTGGTTCACTTCACCACTGCATCTCCTTAAAAAACAAAGCAATAGAAACAGTCAAGCCCACAAGTTTACGGAGATGGACAGGAAAAGAGCAAAGAGACCCTGGTCCCTGAGACCTCTTCTCTCTGCCGTGGTCACTGCTTCTTGGTCACTCCACTGCCCGCTTCTCGGCTTGACCTCTAACAGCTGGGGTCCTCCAGGCTGGCCTACTCAGCCCTTCTTCTCTATTGTACAGCCTATTGCTAGCCTGCATCACACATCCATGACTTTAGTGACTTTGCCATCCGCCCCACATTTATAGTTCAGTTCTTTCCAGGTTCAAATGGCTACTTGCCGTCAACACAGGCATCTAAAGACACTGCACATGCCTGTGGCCATCTTACCTCAGGATCTGTGCTCTTCCTCCCTGTCCCACCCCACCGTGTCCCAAAGCTTCCTGTGGCTATCACCTTTTATCTATCTAGTTACTTTAAGCCAGAAATCCAAAGTCACCCTTGACATCTCTTCTTTTCTTTTTACCTCAAATGCAAACCACAACAAACTCTAGTGATTTTCTCTCCTAAAACCCCAACTCTGTCCTGAGCTGGGTATGTGGCTCAGTGGAAAAGAGCTCCCCTGGCCCTGATGTCATGTGTCTTCCCTTCCCTGCCATGGTCCGTTCCAAACTGTTGTCATCTGTTGCTCACGGTACTGCAAGGTCCTTCTCACTGTATCTCCACGTTCACTCTTGCTCTTTAAAATACGCCAAAACCATTACATAAATCTGGTTACAGCACACACCTCTGTCCTGTGGATAAAATCCTGAACATCCCATGGGGTGGCCTGGGGCTACTCGCTCCTCCCTTCCGTCCCAAAACCTCAGCTTGTGTCCTTTCCACTCCTTTCCTGGAACGCTCTCTCCATTCAGCGCCCAGGCCTTTCACATACTGCCTTCTAGTCATAACCTGGAGTATGACTTTAGCATCCAAGTCCTCAGGAGCACTTTTCTCGTGGGACCAGTACAGGCCAGTCTTGAATTCTGGGGCCGTGGTGATCCTCCTGCCTTAGCCAGGCAGCTGGAAGAGAGGTTATGTGCCTGTACCCGGCCCTCCTTCACCACTGTGCTCTCAGCACTGAACACAGGAGCCAGTCCTGGGCAGGCACTTAGCAAACCGTGGGATGGCAGACAGGACAGGAGTCATCCACACAACAGAGTTGTGTGTTGTGTGTGCCATCCACACAACAGAGATTATGAACAACAGGGTTTCTGAGCAAAAGCAATGTGAGGACTTTACAAAGGGGGGCGGGGGTTGTTTTGGTTTGGTTGGTGGGTTTGGTTTGGTTTTTGGTAAGTCAGAGTGGTGAAAGCAGACTTGGCCACTCTCCAGACCCTGTGGAGTGCATCGTCCCAATCAGTTCCCACACTATGGGATGGCGAGAACAAAACCACCACGCTGGCTTGTGGCAAGTATTAACTAGGATAAAGATGCTGTGTCCCCACCACAGGGATGCTCACAGAAGGTCCTTACTAAGAATGGGCTCTGCCTTTCCTTCCTCTCTTCACCTTTAGATGCAGAGACAGCAATGACGACGAAAGAACTTCAATTTCGTTCTTCCTCTCTTTGAGACAGGATCTCACTGTGTGCGTCAGGCTGATCTGGAACTCTCTATATAGACCAGACTAGCCTCACTCACAAGGATTCACCTGCCGCTGCTTCCCACTTGCTGGGACTAATGACATGCGCAAGTATGTCCAGCATAATTTAGGTTTCTTAGGTTTACTGAGAATGAGAAATACAACTCAACACTTCCATTAAACTCTTCGGTTTAGACAAAAGTCACCTGCCTATTCTAGGGGAGGGCAGGGATGGACATTGAGAACTGGGCTCCAGCATGGTGGTAAAGCCCCACTGCTGAGCAACATCCCCAGCCACTTTTCATCTTGAGACAGGGAAGGCTTCCTAGGCTAGCCCTGAGCTCACTATGACCTGGGCAGGATCTGACCTTGTAATCCTCCTGCTACACACAGCCTTCTAAGTGGCTAGGATTACAAGCCTATGCCACCACACCTAGCTCACCACTCTCCTAATCCCCAAGGAATTATGTAGACAACAGCTAGCTCAGGATTTAGAACCAACTCCTCAGAGTGCTTGTGTGTCCTGTGAAACTCATTCTCACTTCGGAAGGCATTCCTCCAAGCCACCCCGGACACCAGGCTCACAGCGACAATTACAACATACTTCTTTCTGCTTGCTCAGCTCTTCTCGAGAGTCTGGCTTCCCAGGTGCATGGCACCCGCAGTAACCAAAACTCAGAACATTCAGAGACTCCTCTTACCTTGTGTTCAAACGGAGCACCATAGTAGCCATCATTCAGCCCAAAAATTATTTCATTTTGGTTACGGGCATGGATCTAAGAAAAGAGGAAAACATACTATTAATTGATCTTATTCCAGAGGCCAGAGCATGACAGCTGTAGCCTCGAACATTTCCATGCCAACAAACAGGCTGCCTCTATCTAAACAAAGAGGCAGCAAAGAAATCAGGTCTCAAAGGCCAGTTGAGTGATGGGAGAATCCATTCAGCTTTAGTCAAAAGCCGCACAAACACCACGTGAGATTACTGGGGCCGTTAGTGATTATCACCAACATTGTTAACTTGTGATGAAACAGTTACAAATGAAGGACAGGGGACAGTGGCAAACCACACATGCTCTGATTCAGTTTAAAAAATAAATTAATCAAAAAACCAAAATAAATAAATAAATAAATAAATAAATTTAAAAACTCTACAACTGCTTTAAAATTACAACATCAGATTAGCTTTTACTTCCTGGTCTTTTTGCGATCAACTGTCTCGTGCTGCAGTCAGTGTGCCCCAGACCCAACCTCACCTGCAAGGCCTGAAGAATACAACTTAAAAGGATTAAAGAACAGGGACTAGAGATGGCTCCAGGCTTAAGAGCACTGGCTGCTCTTCCAGAGAACCTGGGTTCCATTACCACAACCCATGTAAGGTGGTGACTATAGCTCTAGTTCCAGAGAATCCAACCTCCTTCTGCCCTCCATGAGCACAATACACGCATATGTACAGACACACAACAGTCAAAACACCCATATACATAAAACTAAATCTTTGTTGGGAGCCGACTCCTAGCCGAAAACGGCTATCTTTACAGCCATCTCAAGCCATATACCCTGACAAGAGACTTGTTTTCAACAGCCTGCAACAGCTGAGCACACTCTGATAAACATCTTGTTTTTCTCACATATCTTGTTTTGCTGTTTAGTGCCTCCAGCTGCAAGGCCAACGTGGTCTCCACGCTGCAAGGCCGTGACACAGTGCCTTCAGCTGTGCTTGTCCACCAGGGCAAGGCACGTGGTAAAGGGTATAAATACCCAGGATTTCCTTTCAAAAAAGAGAAGAGACTTGATCAGTCTTGTCTCCATTCTTCGCGTCTCCATTCCCCACTCTCTCTCTTGCTAGACCCTGACCCGCGGACCGGAGCAGCAGAACGGGCCGTTACAAATCTTTTTTAAAAAGAGTAAAGAAATAGTGAGACACAGTGGCACAGACATGTAATCCTAACTCCGTGGGAAGGGAGCAAAGGCAGGAAGATCGTAAGTTCAAGGCCAGTCCATGCTTCATAGTGAGACCCTGTCTCCAAAAACACATGGGGGTGGGGGGTGGGGTAGGGAAGTAATTAGAACTGAGATCTAAATACTCAACTATGAAATGAAAACCCAGATTTATTTCTTTCAGCAGAAAGAATTGTGGTCAAAAAACAAACAAAACCAAAAAAGGACCTACTTTTGAAATGAAGAATTAAAGTGAAAGGTTACAAAAACCATGGGCTCCCTGTGAGGAATGCCTCATGGAGGACCAAGCAGCCAGTGGCATCCATCCGCAGACAGCCCGTCTCCTTCCATGAATCACACACCTCCCGTTTACCTCTTGCTTACTGAACCAATCACAGCAACAGCAAAGATGGTTCTGTAATCACTAACGTGTAACAACCACCATAAATCAAGAAGTTTTCTGCTTCACAGGGAAAATATTTCAAAAACCAGTTTCAAGATTAGATGGGTCTGAAACTTTAGAAACATATGTACCTGAAGAAAGAAGACTAAAATGATGCTCATCAAAATATTAGCAACTGGCCCAAGAACAACTTTTTAAGTTGAAAGAAAAATATGAATGCCACTAAAGAAAGGGGAGAGAAAGTATGGAGAAAAATACATCTGCATGAAGCATATGATGTGCGAAGCTGGCCACTGAATTAGTTCACTGTAAGATTAGATACAAGGTAAAAAGCTAACGGTCCAGGTCGATGGCAACATCAAGGCAGCCAGTCTTTGCAATCAGGTGTTGAGCATGCTGCCAACCTCGCAGCCAATCACCTTCAGCAACACACGCTTTAGTGAGTTCCCATCTCAGTGAGGTGGGGAAACTCCCTACTCTGCCCTTCAGAGCCACAGAAGGACAGAGCTGCATGGGAAACTGTCTAGGGAAGTGAGACCAAAAAACCCCACCTGTCTAGTGACGTATTAGATATCAGGGAATATAAATCTCAGAGCAATCTCTCTGTTTTTGACTAATAAAAAATCCACTGAATAAAACAGGCTATTGAACAGAGCTCTTAGACCATGGAGAGAAGTGTGTGTCTGATTCTTCCTCTTTAATCCACTCAGTTGTGCTAGGATGACCACATGAAAAAATAGACAAGGACTGTGTTTACTAATTATTAGTAGTTAATAACCGTTGCTCTATGCACAAAGCTGTACTTCCACACCTTTACAGAAGGCCACACCTCATAGGGCACCGCTCAGTCAAGATGCCTAGTGAACATAATGGGAGACAAGGATCAAGGAAAAGCCCAAGGCTAACTAACCACTGTGCTACCTTCAACAAGTCATTTGCTGTCTCTGTGCTTCTGTTTTCTCCTAACACTGAGGAAAGGCCCTGAGCATTGTGTGCCTGTAAATCTGGAAGGGGAAGAGGATACAGCCGCCAGGCTTCCACCTCTCCCACATCAGCTCTAAGAATGAGGGCAGTGGTGGCGCACACCTTTAGTCCCAGCACTTGAGAGGCAGAGGCAGGCTGATTTCTGAGTTCGAGGCCAGCCTGGTCTACAGAGTGAGTTCCAGGACAGCCAGGGCTACACAGAGAAACCCTGTCTTGAAAAACCAAAAAAAAAAAAAAAAGAATGAGGGCTCGGCCATCAGGGTGCTGCATGGCCTGTGCCAGCACCATCATCAAATGCTCCAAATCCCCACCTCTACTGATTTCCTCAGCACAAAATGAAGAAATCACTTCTGGGCCCACTCTCAACTTCTCTTCTCTGGATGATTCTAACTCATTCTTCCAGGCTTACTTGGGATCAACATCGCCTAACTATGAAGAGTTCTGTTTACTGACAGCTCACACAACACACTCATGGAGGATTTACCACTGTGCGTTGACTATCTGGGGCCATAAAATGAACCTTAAGAAAGTAAGTTCAAAGCACTGAAACATGGCTTTCCCTAAACGCAACAGATATCAATTGCAGGAAGATGCCCAGAATATCCATAAATATTAAAAAGTTAATAGTGCACCTTTATGCTCAAAGGAGAAATAAAAGATACATTTTAAAATATTTGGAACTGAATAAAAACACAAGAGGAAATTTCTGGACTATGCCTAAAGCAATGCTTAGAAAAAAACTACTTAATGCTTACTCTGAGGACAGAAGTAAATTCTCGAATCAGGAATTCCGTTCTCCCTAAGAACTAAGGAAAAAAATAACCAGGAAAATCCAGGGCAAGCAAAATAGTGGCCATGATAAGATGAAAACAGACTAATGAACTTGAAACAATAAAGATAATCAATGCACTCAGACACCATGTTAAGGTTAGTAAACTGAAAGTCACTAGTGACGGGTCAGGAAAAAAAGAAGATAAAAAACACCAGGCACAGAGCACAGCAGGCTTGCTGTAGACCTACCCACAGAAAAAGGATTGGTAATGACTGTGGACAACTCTATACCAATGTATGTAAAGCCTCAGATGAAACAGACAACTTTCAAAGAAAATCCATCAGCACTCACCGAGGAAGCCCCACATCGGAGACAGTAAATCCCACTTCAAAACTCCCCACAAAGAAATCTTAACACCTAGATGGTTTCATTGAAAAATTCTGTCAAATGTTTGTAGAACAGTAAGAAATCTATAACAACTCCAAAAAGGCAGAAACAGACAAGCTGCAGCCCATATCAGACCAGCCTGACCACATCAGACCAGTGAACACATACATTGTTAGAAAAAGGTCCAGTAACTCTGGGGAATGAGGTATTGCTTTCTTTAACAAAACATTAACAAATCTAATCTGTCAGTATATAAAAGCCCAACATGTGTATGATATAAAACTTTAAACATGCATGTAAAGGAGAACGCACTGTAATTAAGTAGGATTTGTGTCAGAATTCAACCCAAAGTAATAAAGTCAACACTACTTAAAGCTAGAACTGCTCCGTAAATTAAGAGCAAAAAGAAACTTCTTTAACCTGATAATATTATACTTTATACTAAAAGGCTGAATAATCTGATATTATACTTAAAACTGAAAGGCTGAATAATCTGATAATATTATACTTAATACTGAAAGGCTGGATAATGTGATAATACACTTAATAGCCAAAGCTGAATGCATCCCTTTAAGATAAGGCAGGAAAAAAAAGAAAAACAACGATTTGCCCCACATTAATTTTTACTGAACAATATACTGAAGGTAGTAGCAATAAAATAAGGCTCCCTCAAGAGATGCAAAGAAAGAAGTACATTTTAAGATGGGTGTTACAGTTTAAATGTGAAATGATCCTGTCACAGGCTCAAGTATTTGAACACTTGGTCCCCAGATGGTGATGCTGAGAGGTGAGGCTGGGAAACCTTAACAAAATGGAGCCTGCTAGAGGAAGTGGGTCACCAGGGCTGGGTCTTGAGGTTTGGGGAGGGGGACATTCCTACTCGCCTCCCTTTGATTCCTGACTGATCTGCAGTGTGTGCATCTGCAAACGAACATGCAAGAGTTCGCAGGCCAGAGGTCAGCAGCAGGTGTTTTCCTCAGGCTTTCTCCACATGATGTTTTGAGGCAGGGTCTTTCACAAGACCCAGAGCTCGCCTGTTCAGACAGGCTGGCTGACCAGTCCATTCCAGGGACCCTGTCTTAGCATCCCAGCACGGCCTTACAGACTGGCACTAGGGGTGTGACTTTTACATAGGTCTGCAGAGTCGACTCAGGTCCTCACACTTGTGCAGCAAGGACCTGACCGACCTAGCCGCCTCTACAACAGCATCGACTTAAATGTGGATAAAAAGATGGGAATACAGAGGTAGAAATCTAATATGTGAGGCCTGGAGGCTGAAAGCTACAAAC